AGAAACGATCGGGCATTTTTCTTGTTTCAGGTCCGCTATGACACGCGTCAGCGGAAATAACCGGAACGGGAAAGGATGGGTGGCAGTAGGGGGCCACTTTCTTTTTCTTTGCCTCTCGCGCCTTTCCTACTTCCTGCTGCATCCGCTAGGCGTCATGTGTTTGCTTCCTGGCCTGAGCCGTCATCCACTTCTTATACGAACTCTGAAGCCACGACTCGCAAGTCCACCCATCACCATGGCAGGAGTAGGATGACAAAGATGGCGCGAGCGCACCTAGCCCCTCCTTCCCTATCGCGCCTCCCCTCCCGTAACTCCCTTCAGGCACGAGAAGACCCAAACACAAGTTCCCGGAGGTCGGCACGGCTTTCTTGGATCGGCGCTGGACCCCCATCCCTGGGCGCATCCAAGGGGCCCCGGCGCCGATCCGAGAAATCCGCGCGGACCTCCGAAGAAAAGTGCCGTTTGTGCGGTTTGTTGCTCTGCGACTCCCTCCCTCCCTCCCTCCTCCATCGGCCCCAGCGGCGGGGCGTCATGCGGCCGCCCCGGATGGCACCGGCGCCGGCCGCGGCACCCGCGCCCGCGCGTCCCTCCCCATCTCTCCCTCGCTCCCTCCCCCTCCCTCCCTCCCTCCCTCCCCCTCCCTCCCGCACGCACACCCACCGCCACTTCCACCCACCAACGCACGCACGCACGCACGCGCACCACCACCGCGCACCGCCACCACCACCGCACTACCCCACCCACCACCACCACGCTACACCGCGTCACACCACATCACACGCGCGCACACACAGACACACACACACGCACGCACGCACGCACGCACGCACGCACGCACGCACGCACGCACGCACACACACACACACAACACACGCACACACACACACACACACACACACACACACACACACACACACACACACACACACACACACACGCACACGCACACACAGAGACGCACACACACACACACCACCACCACCACCACCGCCACCACACCACCGCCATCACGCACGTACGCACCTGGCCCACCACCAAACCACCAAGACGCCACACCGCGTCACACCACAGCACACGCGCACACACGCACACACACATACATACACACACCACCACCACCACAACAACCACAACCACGCACGCACGCACGCACGCACGCGCACCACCACCCACTACGCACACGCGCGCAGAGCCACAGGTCCGCTACGACACGCGTCCGCGGATAGAGAAAATCAGCGCCATGGTAAGGGATGGGAGGGAGGGGTAGGATGTCAGATGTTGACGCGAGCGCACCTAACTTGCCCATCTCCCCCTCTCTCCCCTCCATCCCTCCCTCCCCTCCCCCCTCCCTCCCTCCCTCCCCCATCCCCCCTCTCTCCCTCGCTTCCTCCCCCTCCCTCCTCCCTCCGATCCTCCCCCTCCCTCCCTCTCTCCCTCGCTCCCTCCCTCCCTCCCCTCCCCTCCCCCCCCCCCCCTTCGGAGCCGCGCAGACCTGGGCCAGCACAAACCAGGCTCGGGTCGAGGACCCCGTCGCGACGCCCAGCCAGCAGCTTCGAGCAGCCCGGGCCAGCGGAACCGTCGGCCCCCCACGCGCCCCCCAGACCCCCGGGGTCAGCCGGAGGGGGGGCTGGCTGGCCCCCGTCCGCCCTGCCTTCCTTGCGATCGGCCCCGGCGGCGGGAGGTCCTGCGGCCGCCCCCGCCGGCACTGGCGCCGGCGGCCGCGGCCGCCACACCGGCCGCCACGGCACCCGCGCCCGCCCGCGAAGCATGGGCCGCCGCCGCGGCGGTCCGCGCCAGCGCGCGGTGCCCGCGGCGCTGCGGCGCGGTCGTGAAGTCGGGCGCTGGGATATGTTCACGACCACAGTGGAGGCCAGTCCATACGAAACCTTCCACGAGAAACCCAACCCTGCGACCCCAGGCGTTTCTCGATGTTTGGTGTAGGAACGTCGCGTTTTCCATGGCCAAACCATTGCAATCTAAGAAACCCAAGGCACCCTGGAGGGAAGCAGGGTGTTTCATGGCATGGGCCTCCACTATAGAGGCCTACATGAGGTCGGAGGTGGGGGTAGACTGGATCGGAGGATCGCGCCTCATCGCCAACGCATCGCGGATGCATCGACGATGCATCCGCGACGTCGGCGACGCATCGGCAGCGTTGGCGAGGAGTTTCTGGGGTTCCACATCGAGACGCATCGGCGATGCGGCGCGATTCTCCGACCCTATCTACTCGGACCCCATCGTGGAGGCCTAGAGCTGAGACCCTCGACGTCATGCTTCTTTTTGAAAAATAGAGCCACAGAGAACTCGATCCATTCCCCGAGATCGTTTTTTCGGCCTGAGTCGTCTATCGACTGTCTCGTAGCCCAGGGCAGGCCCCCAGAGGCCGGCCATAGCGAAAAACCTCCGTCGAGATGTGCCATCACTCGAGGGGGGGTGGGTTCGGGCCTCGGGAGGATCACGTATCGATACAGCTCGAACACTGGACGACCGACGCTCGATCCATAATCCCTGCCGCTGCCCGCAACCCCAGGGTACCCAGGGGCAGCAGGGCATGGACAGAAAAATATTGCCTCGGAGGCTAAGAACTTATCCTTACCCCTAGGCCCCTGAGAAACACACTTGGGGGATAATAAAGTTTGGGGCCCCGGGGGGAGAATAAACGATGTGCCCCGGCAAGTCGCACGTGGGACGTATGACGAGGAAAGAGGAGGTCGTCGTCGTCGCCGCACGAAGATGACGACGACGACCTACACGTCGTTCACTTATAATCGTGCTCAGTTCTAACTGTGCTCGTTTCTAATTGCTCATGGCCCTCTAGTGGCCAGGAAGAGGCGGCCCAGGATAGAACAACTAGAAATGAAAGGATCTTGCCCCCCCAAAGAAACAAAGAACTTAAGACCTTTCGAAGAATTAGACATTAACAATGTGTAGCCCTGTGGGGTCGGGGCGCGAGCAGGGGAACATGAATGACA